CCAGGGACTCTTAGCGCTCTTCAAGAACAGAACCAAAAGAAAAACTATTGCTTCACATAAAGAGCTGACACCTCTTGTAAACTGGCAGGAGATGTACCCTGTGTAGTATCCATTCAGAGTAGGACATTAGCCTCCTTCTTCCTTCAAGAGGCGCCCTAGTTCAGGCTTTGAAAGCACAAAAAGAAAAAAAATTTATTAAGCCACACACAGGCACATTTCGTTTTCAAGCTTTTGAGGAACATTACATCGACTTACATTTTCCTGGAGACTCATCCTTATTCTAGTTCTCAGTATTTCCCTAACCTTAAAGTTCCCTCATCAAAAACATGCCTGAAGTGGTTTTAGATGTCATCCATGCATGTTTGAACAATTTAAAGATCTTTTCCGGGACCAATGTGAATCACCTTTACGGTCCACAACGCTCAGCCCACAAGTCTACAACAAGTACAACAATTCTCCATAAATATTGAAAAAGCCTGATACAAACTTGTACTCAAAAACTTGACAAACATCACGCAATGTGCCGTAGTTTCAATAGTGGGATGAAAGCTGATTGTGTTGTGAAAGCGCTCTGAAGGGGGAGTGACGTAGCGCAGGGAGCAAAGACAGGGAAGACTCAAAAGCAAAAAAAAAATTTTTTCGGCAAATATAGCATTTTCTAAAGAACAAACGGTAACATGATGATCTAAATATTTTCTCACTTAATAGCTCCTCTTTAAACTAAACTTTAATCTTAATTTATTTTAACCCATATCTGAACTTTCACCACCAGATTTTTGTCCCGATAAAGGAGGCAAGTCCCTATGATGTGAGTGGCGACCATAGACTGTATAAAAAAGTGGACTAAGCGAATGTGACGTCACCCATAGTGTTCAGCTCCAGTCAAAGGAAGCTCATTGAGGCTTGAGTTATAGATGTGAATATGGTTGAGCTTACGAACTAAATAGTAAAATAAAAACACCAGAAAACCACCATGCAGTTAATATGAACAATTTCAGAACAATTTAAGACCAAAATGACAGGGCTCTCACTGCAGCAGTTACAGAGAGGTAGTGTTGTAGTCAAGACCACACTAATCAAGACCAAGACCTGTCTAAGACCACAGGGTCACGAGACCAGGACAAGACCAAGACCTCTGAGAGTGGAGACCAAGCCAAAACCAAGACTTTTAAAGGCCAAGAGACCGAAACCACAGACCATCGAGACCAAATCGAGACCATCTTTTGTCATTTTTGACATTTATTTGTATTTTACAGTTATTTTGGCACATATATACCAAAGTTTTTACAAATCTATCTCCATTTTATCACTCGTCGAGTCTCAAACCTCGTAACAGTGGCAAGACCAAGTCCAAGCACTTTTAAGATCGAGACAAGACTGAGTCCAAGCGCCTTTAAGATTGTGACAAGACCGATTCCCAGCGGCTTCAAGACTGAGACCAGACCGAGTCCAAGCGCCTTCAAGACCGAGTCCAAGCGGCTTCAAGACTGAGACAAGGTCGAGTCCAAGCGCCTTCAAGACCGACACAAGACTGAGTCCAAGCGCCTTCAAGACCAAGACAAGACTAAGTCCAAACCACAAAAAAATGGACCAAGACCGGTCTTGAGTACTACGATACTACAGAGAGGGGCCACAATATTTCAATGTAAAGTCCATCAGAACCAGAGTCGATGGACTCTGAAATTGTCACCCTGGTTACAGCCCTATTATATTTCGAGTCAAAAACCTGCTCCAGTAATTCAAAAGAGAAAAGTCCGTGCATAGCTTTGGCCCTTGTAGATCCAGCTGTAACACAAGGAGAGCAGACTATGGCGTATTGTACTTTCTTTTTTTCCCCTGATTCAAGATATGAAAAGAAGAATGAAATGAATGTAACTCGCCACAGTCACATTGATGAAAAGGGGAAAAATATATAAAAGTAACATTACTGCGAATATTTCTGTGAGTTCCGGATTTATCAAGGTCTAGACGAGTCTTTCTAAAGAGGGTTTTCAGACCGGAGTGACCTTTGCTTTGACTGGTGTTGATTGGTTAGTTAACGCGCTGGAAAGAAAAGTGAAAGAGCTGTTTTCATAGTTTTAAATTAGGCGTGCCCATGCTGTACATATCAGCACGCCCAGGGCCAAGCGTAATTATGGGTTGGATTTAAAGGTCCTATATTACACCAAATTACTCTTGTGAGCTTTAAGGGATGTTAGAATGCTGTTACCTACGGAAGCCGAGAGGGGTCACAACAAACGCAAACGCCGCAACAAATACAAATGCGACAACACAACAAAAAGCCACAACAGAAATGACCGCGGGACTCTATTTTAATGCAAACGTCGCAACAAATACAAACGCCACAACACAAACGCAAATGCCACAACACATCAAAAAGCCACAACACATCAAAAAGCCACAACGGAAGTGACTCTATTTTCCGACGGACCGATCAAGCGGCAAGTGAAGAAGAAGAACTACAATGTGAAAAGTAATGGAACAGAGAAGTGGGAAACGTAAGTAAAAGTAATTTATTGTTTTATCATTATTCGTTTCACGTTGTAGTTCTTCTTCTTCACTTGCCGCTTGATCGGTCCGTCGAAAAATAGAGTCCCGCGGTCACTTCCGTTGTGGCTTTATGATGTGTTGTGGCTTTTTAACGTGCTGTGGCATTTGCGTTTGTGTTGTGGCGTTTGTATTTGTTGCGGCGTTTGCATTAAAATAGAGTCCCGCGGTCATTTCCGTTGTGGCTTTATGATGTGTTGTGGCTTTTTATCGTGCTGTGGCATTTGCGTTTGTGTTGTGGCGTTTGTATTTGTTGCGGTGTTTGCATTAAAATAGAGTCCCCGCGGTCATTTCTTTGTTTGTTGTGGCTTTTCGTTGTGTTGTCGCATTTGTATTTGTTGCGGCGTTTGCGTTTGTTGTGACCCCTTTCGGCTTCCGTAGTTACCGCATCAAAAACAGACCTGGAGTTGTGTTTTAAACATGTGTGAATGAAACAAAACACAACTCTGCCTGTTTTTGATGAGGAAACAACATTATAACATACTGTAGATCAGAAAATAGCGTAATATGGGGCCTTTAAAACGTGTATCTGCAAAGAGATTTAACCAGACAGAGATAGCATTGCAATTTCGGCGAAAGTTAAATGTGAAGTGCTCAAACAAACCAAAACAAATATAGTGACACCGATGGACGCAACCTATTTTAGCAGAAATACGCTGAAAAACAGGATGATCTTTGAGCATTTGTGGACAGCGTTGAGAGCATTTCTCTCAATTGGATATCAGAAAAGTTTGAATTCTGTGCTCTGACCAAGTAGATTCAAATATTTGTTATGACATTTCGCCTTTTCTCGACCTCTTTGATCCTCCCAGATCGATGCGTGAACTCAGTAGTCTGGTTTAGTCTCCTTTGCAACTACTGACAGTCTTTTCGGCACAAAAATGTAATACAAACAAGTAATTCTTAAAGGGCCCATATTACACTGTTTTCTGATCTATGTTATAATGTTGTTTCCTCACCACAAACAGACCTGGAGTTTTGTTTTGTTTCATTCACATTAGAGTTTAGAGTGATTTCTGTCCGAGTCTGACCCACAGAGCAATGATCAAATCCGACTCAAGCTCGACAGGCATTAAGATATTTGTGTCTGAACTTGACATAATTAAAATCACACTATTTTCACAGGCCTACTAATGATACACGTATGATATTATTTGTGTGGCCTCTAACGGACACAGCAACGCAAAATACAAACTCAGGATATAGCGAAAATAATGAGGAGACTTCATTCCTCAACTCTTGTAATGTAGTGGTAAATTTAAAGTCCAGCATTTCATCCACATTATCCATAGAAATTATTCTTTGCAAATAATGACGTCCACTCCACAAAACCACCCTATTAATCCAGTTTGAAGTGTTATTTAAAAGTAAAAAGGTGAGAGTAGTTCCTCACGTGTGTTTGTTTACATCCACACAGCGCACAGACCGAGGTGAAGCTGCAGATTAGTGATAGTGACTCTACTTCCTGTGTACTTTATCGCCAATCTTTTATGCTTTACAAATCATCTATCTGAACTATTGCACCACGTTTCACAAATAATAATAATAACAAGTTTTTTTTTTACTTGTGTCTAAACTAGAAGTGCAGTGCTTTCATCTTTAGAATACTTAAGAGTCTCAGAGCGAGTTGTTTTACTGTAGACAGGAAACCGCTGACTTCGGACTTTGCTCGGGTTTCTGTGCTCTAATTCACACACGTTTAACACACAAACCCTGCATATGTAGGCTGAGTTCTTCTCTCATCCAGAAAAAACTGTTTCAAGTTGTTATGTCATGTGGTAATACAGGAAGTGCTCCACTGCGTTTTTAAATTTCATAGACCTTCACTAGAGTCATTTGGCTAATTATAGGCTCTGGAATTGCAAATCTCTACTAAACAAAAGGTAAAAAGCTGCTGTTAACTTACCACTTCATGACATCACAAGGTGGATCAGAGCATTTTGAGCTTTGAAGATGCAGACAGCCCCGCTAAAACATGTGTGAATGAAACAAAACACAACTCTGCGTACATTTTTGAAGAGGTAACAACATTCTAACATGTCTTAAAGCTGTTGAGTCTATTTGAGTGATACAGGACCTTTAAGGATGTTATTTTAAGTGTAAAAAAACCTCATCAAACTCGCCGGAGGGACAGAGCGAGTGTGTTGGATCAGGTCTGTGTTTTGATTGACAGCTCGGGGTGCGCCGTGAGAGTGGAGAGGATGAAAGGGAGTAGGGCTCACACAGCGCGCTTTGTTTGTTAAAGACAGTGTAGCAAACATTAGATGGAAAGTGCCCCATCAAAGTAAGGGAGCTGCTGGAGCCTGCTAAGTGTGGCGAGCGGGGCATCCGGGAGGGGTGTGAGGAGCACCCCAAAGTAAGATAATCAACATAAAACCAACAACGCCACTGGGCGTAGCCCAGAACTAAAACTAAATTTACTAAACTAAAAGCTCACAGGTTCGTTAATTGACAGACAGAGACAAGTGACTTACAAAACATGAAATTATTTATTATTGCCATAATTCATTTGTTAGATTAACTTTAAGAGTAGACTATTCACTGTTCACATAACTGCCGATAACACAGTCACCAAAAGCAGCGGTACGGTGATTTTGTCCTTAAAATTAAAAAAACACAGTAAAACAAAGCAGCAGCTCGTTCACAGGGCCACCGCTCCACCAGATGACGTGCCGAAGACCACCCTGGACCCTAAAATGAACATTATATTTTATCTTTCACTTGGTGGTAGCCCCATACATGAACCTAAACCAATGACCAGCCAACGTACCACAAAACACACGCTTCTACATCCACGAGGCTTGACGCCGAGCGGCCGGGGCATCTGACAGCAACACCGACCCAACCGTGGACAGCGGCTAACAGTGGCGCTTGTGGCGATCAACAGCAAATACATGCAGGAGCTTTACTCACGAGCCATAACTTCGATCAGGCACGTCGAGACTCTAGGAGCGGTGGCACTACAATAAAGCCACACATTAAATTATAAAATTGTAATTGTAATTAGAGAACAGCGGTTGTTTACCTGTGCGCGACAAGGCGGAGCCCTATCCCGGAAGTGCGCCGAGGTCAGAGAACGAGACGCTACGGGGAGTGCCCTTTTATAAGCCCAGGCGCCACCTGGTGGCAGAAGGCAGCAGGCGCGCACTGCTACATTATACCCCTCCCTTTTGAATCGTCGTCCCGACGATTGACGCACACAAAGAACTTGCAGAACATAAATAAGTGCTCTTAAAACACATTTCTGTTTAAAATGTTACCTAAACTCAGTCCAGAACGAACAGGACACGGCCCTTACCACAGTTACACACCTGTACCTGCAGAATTAAAACCAGCTCGCTCAGCTGTACTCAACTCCTCTCACGCAGATGGAGGGCCCTGAAGGCTACGGCCAGTGCGATGAAGCTACTGACGGCTAACGTTTACGACAACCCACGAAAACTGCGGTACCGAGACTGACAACCAATGAGCTTTCAGCGGAAACTACTGCGCCCCTACGCTGTCATAGGTAAACAAAACGGAACGGCTATTCAAGCGGCCCCTAACATCTCACAGCAATCTAGTTACCTGGGCGGTATGAGCCATCCACTGTAGGCTCCTGGTACCACACATTCTCTGGGACTGATGCTGTGACCTCGAGCACCCCACGCCGGACACTCACTCCATTTTCCAAATGCCCTCCCCAACTGCTGCTTTGCCTTCACAATACAAAAAAAACAAACAGACCAATACATTCAAGATAGCCAAACAATTCACAATGCAGATCAGCTTTAACATTTAAGTAGAATTACGGGTAGCATCAAGTAATTTCCCTACAGGTAAACCATGCCTTGCTACTGCTTGGTCAACTTCTGAAACTATGTATATATACAACAATTTAAAATAAACACAAAGTAAAAAACAAAATCACACAGCAAACCAATGTATACATGAAACAAATGAAGTTTGCACAATACAAAGTTGGACAGGTTAAACCTGGTACATGGGGAATTTTAACCTGGCTACTACGCTCCACTTAATGCAAACAGACAGCATCATAAAAAAATAAATAAAAATGAAAGCACATGTCTCTGTACATAATCAATTATCCTGCCGACAACGCCAAGTGTGGCGAGCGGGGCATCCGGGAGGGGTGTGAGGAGCACCCCAAAGTAAGATAATCAACATAAAACCAACAACGCCACTGGGCGTAGCCCAGAACTAAAACTAAATTTACTAAACTAAAAGGCTCACAGGTTCGTTAATTGACAGACAGAGACAAGTGACTTACAAAACATGAAATTATTTATTATTGCCATAATTCATTTGTTAGATTAACTTTAAGAGTAGACTATTCACTGTTCACATAACTGCCGATAACACAGTCACCAAAAGCAGCTGTACGGTGATTTTGTCCTTAAAATTAAAAACACAGTAAAACAAAGCAGCAGCTCGTTCACAGGGCCACCGCTCCACCAGATGACGTGCCGAAGACCACCCTGGACCCTAAAATGAACATTATATTTTATCTTTCACTTGGTGGTAGCCCCATACATGAACCTAAACCAATGACCAGCCAACGTACCACAAAACACACGCTTCTACATCCACGAGGCTTGACGCCGAGCGGCCGGGGCATCTGACAGCAACACCGACCCAACCGTGGACAGCGGCTAACAGTGGCGCTTGTGGCGATCAACAGCAAATACATGCAGGAGCTTTACTCACGAGCCATAACTTCGATCAGGCACGTCGAGACTCTAGGAGCGGTGGCACTACAATAAAGCCACACATTAAATTATAAAATTGTAATTGTAATTAGAGAACAGCGGTTGTTTACCTGTGCGCGACAAGGCGGAGCCCTATCCGGAAGTGCGCCGAGGTCAGAGAACGAGACGCTACGGGAGTGCCCTTTTATAAGCCAGGCGCCACCTGGTGGCAGAAGGCAGCAGGCGCGCACTGCTACTAAGCTTTTTTCTGGCTCAAATGACGGCCCTGTCTAATAAAGCTTACATTGCCAAATATTTCATTTTTTAAAAGGCCAAAATTCTGCTATTTTCTGATCTGTGGTATAATGTTCTTTCCTCATCACAAAGAGACCAGGGGGGTATTTCATCAAAGTGGCTTAACAAATCTAGGCTTATCCTGAAATCATGAGCTGAATCTAGCTTCATCTTTAGTTTAAGCCTCAAGTTGTTCCATGACAGAAATAAATCCAATCTGACTAAAGCCAACTCAGACCTGAAATTTAAGCTCTTTTGTGTGTGCTCGCAGTGATTCTGGGAAGGTCAAAGCAATGGAGCAACTACATCACAGAAAATGGGCCAAAAATCTGATGTTTTTTTATGGTCTAATGGACTAAACGAGAGAGGAGCCACAGCTTTTCTGGTCATTCCGGTCTAAAGATTAAGAGGAAAGACACGACTCCCTCGTCCTCTCCTGTTGGCTCCCCCTCCTCTCCCTGTCGCTCCACGGGCAGAGAGGTGGTTTCTTTAGGCGTTCTTGGAGACAGAGCTAAAATAATCTTGACAGTTAGCCAGGTCCTGACCAGGTTTGTTTCCGGGTGCTTGTTAGTGCAGCAACTCAGCGTCACCTCTGGTCAGTCACTTTGGTGGAACGGAACTGAGGCTTTCACAAGGCCTGGATTGACTGAATAAGCCAGGCTTTCGCTTTAGCTCGCTTCATGGAATAACCCCCTGGAGTTGTGTGTAGTTTCATTCACACATGTTTGAGTTCTTTTCTCAAACAGAAAACACTCTGTGATGTGGTAATACTGTGCTCAAGTTCTCCACTGTTTTTTTTTTAACTTCATACACCTTCACGAGAGTCAGTTGGATGATTTCAGCTCTGAAATTGCCAATTTCTATTGAACTAAATTCAAAGGAGCTGTTAACTTGAAAACTACAGCTTCATGAAATCACAAGGTGGAACAGAACATTTTGAGCTTTGGAGATGTAGACAGACTAATAATAAAGGATTACTCAAACATGTGTGAATGAAACAAAACACGACTCCAGATCTGTTTTTGAGGAGGTAACAACATTATAACATGTCTAAAAGCTCACAAGAGTCAATTTTGCATAATATAGAACTTTTAACAGTGATGAGGAGCACCAAACTTAAAATGTAACTAAAAAACAAATCAACTTTTTGTGTCCAAAAAATGGATACAAAGCTGCAGTTTCAAGCACTACATGACATCACACAGGACTGTCCTGATTACACCTGGCTGCATGTTATAATGATGTTACTTCATCAGAAATATATTGTGTTTTGTTTCATTCGTCCATGTTTGAGTAATTATTTATTTATAATTATTAGGCTACGTTTACACATAGCCAGGTTTGTTGAGAAACAAATATTTTCCTCCCGCAGTTTTCCAAAATAACATCGTACACACAGCATCATTTCAAAAAAGTTTTCGTTTACATCAACCTGCATAAATACGTCATCAATTGCCATTGTAACTACACCAAGTCTCTGGGTGGCGCCTGGATTAGATTCAAACCTGTATTGCTCAAAAATATCTTTTAAAACGTGCATTAGTGAGCGGGTTCGCCTCTCCACAGATCTGTCAAAGAAGTGGCAAAATTGCAGACCTCCGAGTCTCATTCGTCTCTGGTCATGGATATGAAACATCAGCTGTGTGTGCAAATGCAAACACATGAAAAGTGTTTCCACTGGAGGAAATGCGACTGCTGCTCTGAATACTCCACAGTCATCATCAGAGCAAAAGGGAAACACTGGTTGCACTTTTGGCGCCTCAGCTCCTAAAATTCCGTTTATCTCACTTTACACGCAAACGCCAAACCGTAGTTTTCCCAAATCTCCACTCTAGTCGGAGTTTTTAGAAACATTAGTTTTCAGAAGTGAATTCACTGTTTGCGTGTATAAGATGGGTACAAACAAAGGGAAATGTCTCTGTTTTTAAAAAATACCTGCGTACATGTAAACAGGGCCTTAATCTGTTTACACCTCCAAAGCTCAAAATGCTCCATTTCACTTTGTGATGTCATGAAGCTGTAGTTTTCAAGTTAACAGTTACCTTTTGCCTTTTGTTAGAGCTGAAATTATCCAAATGATTCTAGTGAAAGTGTATGGATTTAAAAAACACAGTGGAGCACACCACATGACATCACAAGGTGGAACAAAGTATTTTCTATTTGAGATAAGAACTCAGTTTAAATATGCAGGATTTGTGTGTTAAACATGTGTGAATGAAACAAAATACAACTCTACCCTTTAAACACTCAAGCACAAAACATGGTGAGAATATCGTTTGCATCGTCTGATCTGGTTTCCATGCAGAGCAGTTTAACGCCTCACCTCCACTTAGCTCTGTAATTCATCTGCACATGCTCAGTAGGACCACGTGCACGCCCCTCTCTACCCTTTAAACGTGCACATTCAAATTCATTCCCACAATCCTCCTCTCCTCTCCGTACGCGCCCCTTTTGCACTTCAAAGATTGTATTTATATCCCATAATGAGGATCGTGCCAAAGGGAGGGTAAGAGCAGTTTTTCATTTCTCTTATTGGATCAGACGTTGTATCTGCACCAGTTTGGATTTGGACTGGAGCTGGAGCCAATGTGATGTAATAAAGAGTCAAGTAAAAGTTAAATTCCAAATGTGTGGGTAGAAGGCTGTCATGTTGCAGTACGAATTGGCAAATTTATTTAAAACTGGGTTTTTATCAACTTTTTGGAGATTTCTACCATGCTATAATGTTGTTCCCTCATCAAAAACATGCCTGAAGAGGTTTTAGAAGTCATTCAGGCATGTTTGATTAATCTAGTGATCTCTCCTAGGCTGTATTCGAACCCTTCTGTCCAATGCTCACCCCAAAAGCCTACTTCACCCATGCTCCCACACGACAATTCTCCATAAATATACAAAAACATGATACAAAACTGTGCACAACAACTTGACAAACCTGATGCGATGTACAGTAGTTCTGAAGGAGGGAGTGACTTAGCACTGAGAGCAAAGGGAGGGGAGATTCAGAACGTCAAAAGCGAAAGTGAAACTTATTAAGAGAGAGATACTTCTTTGATCCTGAGGGAAAATTCAACTCTCAATCAAAAGTCTCAGTGCAGTTTAACAGGAGGTCAGGGAGGGTCAGTCTAATATAGAGACTTTTATTTTGGCTGGTCCACTTCCTTGTTCTGCTGTCCCGCACTTTCCAGTTCCTTTAAGTTCACGCAGTTTACTCCTCTCAGTCTCTGCTGCAAAACTTTTCAAACAATGTACTGGAACTCCCAAAAACGATAAAAATGGTTAATTCCCTCAAAGTGTTTCCTTTAGAACGTTTTGGAGTATTTCTTTGGAAGGTCTTCTGCCACATTTGCTGCCACATGTGTAAAAAACCCTGTAACATCTCAATGTCCATAACTAGCTCCAAATCAAAACAAACATGGTGAGAACGACAGTAGGGGTGTATAAAAATATCAAAATATCTATAAATCATATAATTTAAGGTGATGATACAGTATCGATATCGTGGGCTGCTGTATCGATATATCTCCAAGAGTATTTTTTGCTATATTTTGCTAAATTATTTTGTTACAGTGCTACAGTTTTGTTGTTTGTTACCTCTGCCAAGGAGGTTATGTTTTTGCCAGCGTTTGTCTGTTTGTTTGTTTGTTTATTTGTTTGTTTGTTTGTCTGTTAGCAACATAACTCAAAAAGTTATGGACCGATTTTGATGAAATTTTCAGGATTTGTTGGAAATGTGAAAAGGAAGAACTGATTTCATTTTGGGGGTGATCCGGAAGAAATCCCAGATTCTGGATCACTTTGAAATTTTAGTTAACATTGTGGTAAATGGGGCCAAAAATTTTGTTTCTCAATATCTCGGTTAATTATTGACCAAACCCCATGAAATTTGACTCAGGGATGGACAATGGGATCCTCTTTCATATTCCAAAGGCTGATCCGGATCTGATCCAGAAGACTGATTTTATCGCAATTTATATAAAAAATGGGGGTAGTCCTTGGCGGAGGTCTGCGCTCTCTGAGTGCTTTTCTAGTTTAGTGAAAGGAAACACTTGTATGAGACAAATTTGACATTTTCACTGTGTCGATGGGTAAAATGGGCGTGTTTCATATTCTTTTCGACAAGAAATGGTTTAACAAACACTTTTAGTATCACAGCCATCATTTAGTCTTTTTTTTTTAAAATTGAACCGTATCGAATTGATTTAAAATACATCGTATGGAGTCAAACGCTCACTGTATCGAGATATGTATGGCATCGTGGCCTATGTATCAATGTATGTATCGTATACGCAACTTCTTAATGATACCCAACCCTAACTGACAGACGTATCTCAGCCTATTTTAGCATCACTAAAGACTATTTTGTTTGTGAAAGCCGTGCATAAGGTGACAGTGAAGATGTCTGTGCTTTTTCCTCAACTGGATGTAACAAAAGTTTGATTTGTTGGCTTGTTCTGCTGTTATGACACTTCAAACAATCAGATTCAAATATTCATCATGACACTCCACGTTTTCCGATTGCTTTCAACGATAGTCATCCCAGATTAAAAATGTGTAGTGCTCAATTCAAAGTGATACACAAATCAATCTAGAGCCTAAATATGTCATGTGTTAACAATTGGGCCTTTTTTTTTTTGTATTCCGAGCATCCTTATTATTCGTTGTGTTTAGTTTATAAGTGCTTTTCACAACAGAGCGGGGTGGAGCTAACAACAACTAACATGCTAACGCGCACTTCCTGATTATCTGCCGCTTAAATGCTTTCTAATCAGATGCAGACAGCACGCGGAGCACTTACTTTGACCTCAAGAGCTGCTTATGTAACATATCTGTATTTGGGTGAGATGAATTTTGCTCAAATA